GTTCCCGCCGGCGACGTGCTCACCGATGAGCTCCCGCAACGGCTCAGGCATCCAATTGAGGTGGGGAAAACCCTCCCCGCGCCATGGCGACTGCAACGGTGGGGTCAGGGCGACGGATGGTGCTTCCTAAGTCACTGGTCACGGTGAATGGTGGATCGAGCACAACCGGCGTGCGGGAATGGCGCGGGTGCAGCGGCATTGGCCGATTCTGTGGTGCGCGTGGGCGTCACAATGCTCCAGCAGGCATGTTGGGCAGGTCGAGGGGTCCTCCAGGGCCTCCGGTGGCTTTGGCCACTGTGGCGGCCTTCCGATCACGTCGGCGGCGTCGGTGTGGGGGCTATGGCCTCGGAGGGGCGTCAAATTCGTGTGGACACGGCGAGGGCGTCCAAAGCTCAAGGCGGGACTTCCGGTTTCCAGGTGGCCGGTAGGGACTTCCCGACGGCCACGGCGACATGGTGATGACGGCGAGGCACATGCGCATTTCTGCAACACTCATTTGTTGAACATGCCGAGCATTTGTAGGCCAACATTCGGCTTCATACAACATTGCAGGTCTAATTGCCGTCCTATAGAACTTGCCTTTTAGCTTTTGGGGTACCCTCTTGTCACATAGAATGTCAGAAGCTTGACGCCACTTGATCCACCCTGCTTTGATTCTATGGCTAACGTCCACATCAATATCTCCATCCTTCTGTAGCATCGATTCCAGATATCGGAAGGTGTCCTTCTGTAGCACGACTTGACCTTCCAAACTCACATCTCCCTCATCCTGTGCAGTTGTGCCAAAGTCGCATTTCATATATTCGGTTTTAGTCCGGCTTAGTCTAAAACCTTTAGACTCAAGGGTCTGCCGCCACAACTCAAGTTTCCTATTTACTCCCGCCAGGCTTTCATCAACTAACACTACATCATCGACGAAAAGCATACACCAAGGGATATCCCCTTGAATGTCCCTGGTAACCTCGTCCATTACCAAGGCAAAGAGATACGTGCTTAAGGCTGACCCTTGATGAAGCCCAATTCTAATCGGGAAGTAATCAGTGTTACCATTGTTGGTTCGAACGCTAGTCACAGCATTGTTGTACATGTTCTTGATGAGGGCTACGTACTTTGTTGGGACTTTATGTCTATCCAAAGCCCACCACATAACATTTCTTGGTATCTTGTCATAAGCCTCTCCAAGTCAATGAAAACCATGTGTAGGTCCTTCTTCTACTATCTAAATCGCTCCATAACTTGTCTTAACAAGAAGATTGCTTCTGTGGTTGACCTTCCGGGCATGAAACCAAATTGGTTTGTAGATACCCGTGTCCTTCCTCGCAGGCGTTGCTCAATGACTCTCTCCCATAGCTTCATAGTGTAGCTCATCAACTTAATCCCACGATAGTTATTACAACTCTGGATGTCATATTTGTTCTTGTAGATTGGTACCAAAGTGCTTCGTCTCCACTCCTCAGGCATCTTGTTCGATCGGAAGATATTATTGAACATCTTGGTTAGCCATACTATAGCTAAATCCTCAAGGCATCTCCACACCTTGATTGGGATACCATCCGGGCCCATCGCTTTGCTCCCTTTCATCCTTTTCAACGCTTCTCTGACCCCCGATTCTTGAATCCTCCGCTCAAAGCGCCTATTGGTGTCATCAAACGAGTCGTCCAACTGAACGGAGGAGTTCTCGTTCTCCCCATTGAACAACTTGTTGAAATACTCTTGCCATCTTTGTCTGATCTCATCCTCCTTCACCAAGAGTTGCTCCCTCTCATCCTTAATGCACTTGACTTGAATGAAGTCTCTTGTCTTCCTATCACTAGTCCTAGTCATCCTATAGATGTCCTTTTCTCCTTCCTTCGTATCTAGACGTCTGTACAAATCTTCATAAGCCCGTCCATTTGCCTCCGCCACCGCTCGTTTTGCAATCTTCTTTGCCACCTTATACTTCTCTATGTTATCTGCACACCGATCCTGAAACAAGCGCTTATAGCCTTCCTTCTTCTCCTTAATTGCCTTCTGAACATCCTCATCCCACCACCAAGTGTCTTTCATAGCGCATCCACTTCCTTTGGTCACTCCCAGCACCTCTGCAGCAACCTTCCGAACGCATGTCGCCATCTTCTCCCACATATTGTTGGCGTCACCATCGTCCTTCCACGGGCCCTCTTCAATAACTCTTGCCTTGAAGACCTTTGATGCCTCCCCTTCTAATTTCCACCATTTTGTCCTTGCAATCTTGGCTTGTTTAGCCCTACGAGTTTACACCAGAAAGCGAAAGTCAGCCACCACTAGCTTGTGCTGAGACACCACACATTCCCCAGGTCTCACCTTACAATCCACGCAAGCACGTTTATCTCCCCTTCTTGTAAGGACAAAGTCAATCTGACTGCAGGAAAAGCCACTACTAAAGGTCACTAAGTGGGACTCTCGCTTTTGGAAGAAAGTGTTTGCTACCATCATATCAAAAGCTGTAGCAAAGTTTAGGACATCCTCTCCCTCCTGGTTCCTTCTTCCGTAACCAAAACCTCCATGTGCCGCCTCGAAACCTGTACTAGATGCTCCTACATGGCCATTAAGGTCTCATCCAATGAAGAGCTTCTCGCTACTAGGTACAGCCCCTAACTAAGCCATCCAAATCCTCCCAGAATTGCCTCTTAGCACACTCATTAAGGCCTACTTGGGAGCATACGCACTAATAACGTTTAAGACTATATCACTAATGACGAGTTTAACTAAGATAATCCTATCTCTTTGCCTTTTTACCCCCACCACACCACCCTAGAGGCTCTTATCGATCAAAACTCCCACTTCATTTCTATTCGAAGTTGTCCCTATGTACCATAGCTCGAAGCCTGTATTGTCCACCTCCTTCGCCTTTTGACTCTTCCATTTGGTCTCTTTAACGCACAAGATATTTACATGCCTCCTAGCTATTGTGTCAACTAGCTCTCTTAACTTACCCGTGAGGGACCCAACATTCCAGCTACCTAAACGGATCTTGGTTGATTCGACTAGCTTGCTTACCCTTCTGCCTTTTCTATCTATTTTTTCTGTCTGCCTTCTTTTTTTTCGCCGGTATTAAATTACAGAGTTCGTTTTTTTGTGAACAAAAATTACAGAGTTCGTTTAGAGCCTGTAAAGGACTGTTTCTGGATTCTATTCGTATTCTTTTACCAGGCCCAGGCGGCATGCTAGAGCGAGCAGCCCACATGGCACAAGCACGGCCCATCCGCTGGAGCCAGCGGCCCAAAGCTGAAGCGAAGAGCTGAGATGGGATTCCGACTCTGACTGTCCGACAGCGGCATCTACGTGGCGTATGTTTTTTCCTTCCCTTTCTCTTCTATACTATGGAGTACGGCACCTACTTATCAAATTAGATAGGACTTAAACAAATATAGGAAATTTCTATATATGCTTAGAAAATATTATCAATATTCATATATTCATCTATATCTACACCTCTCTATACCTAATAATAAAGAGATAAAATTTTTAATAATAAAAGGTAAAATTTCTACAACCGTTTTGTTTCCGCCGTTTTTCTTTATTGTGCCTTTTTTATGTTTGCGTACCGTCACGATCTCCGGCTCCGTCTTGGATATGTGCAAAAGGATATTAGAGTGAGAAAGAAAATAGAAATGAATACAGAGTTCAGGTGTAAGATACAAGAGAGAAGAAAAAGGAGAAAGGGCCTTAATAGTTTTTAAATAGATTAGGGTTCTTGATGCAAAGTGTTAAAGATCTTGCAAAATTCACCAAAAATCATAGAGAAATCAGAAAAATACCAAATCAGTTTTGTTAGTTTTATAAAAATATGATCTATCCATATGTGTTATGAATCTTGTTAGGTTATGCTTTGTCTATAGGCGTGTTAAATTATCTTGCATATGTTGTATGCATATAGGTTCGACGATAAACGAACATGCTAGAGGCGGACCCGGAATATGCAAATGATATCCTTGTTGTCATTGTCCCCCAAGCCTTCACTAACTTTCTGTTGTCTGGTTCCTCTCAAGCAAGCTTGATGCATAACCCCTATTTTTTAACACTTATTATGTTTGTTTCTGAATTAAGTTTTGATAAGAAAGATTTACACCATGTGTAGTTTTGAATAAAAAAGCAAAACTTATTTATATTAAAATATGGATTAGTCAATGGTACAACTAATTATGTCTGAGCTGGAATGTTGGGCAGTATATAATTCTGACAAGGGCTGCTATATGAAAAAAAATAAAGAGAGATCTCCCGTCGTAATCATCAGAGGACAGAACAATCCTAATGCATTGATAACAAAAAGTTACCAAAGTTGATATGATGCATCAAAAAAGTGTACAGATTAAATATGGGCTTTGTAGCTGAAGGATACCAAGATGTTTTTTTAATTCAATACGTGTTTAATAGGACATTATTATTTATTATGAGTATTAACTTATATTATAGATGTGATGATCATAAAAAAAATAAATTATAAAAATATAGGATAAAAGTAGATATGTATCATTCACGTTATCATTTTGCATGAATGTTAGTAGTTTTTTTCTTTCGATGCAACGCACGAGCATATTTGCTAGTAGATATAGATTTACAATCTGATTTTAAGCGTATCAATGAAACCAGGGCCTTATTTAGTTGCCCGATTTTGGACAACCAAAATCACTGTGCCAGCACTGTAGCACAGTGTAGCGTTTCGTTTGTATTTGTGAATTATTGTCCAAACATTGACTAATTAGGCTCAAAAAATTCGTCTCGCAAAGTACAATCAAATTGTGCAATTAGTTTTTGATTTCGTCTACATTTGGTACTCCATGTATGTACCGTAAATTTGATGTGACGGGACCACATCACAAATCCTGGCCCACTCCACCCAAAAAAAAAACCTGCCCCACTGTTGATATATTCCGAGAGGATCACATCAGAAGCCCTCGCGACGAACCCTAACCATACCAGATTTTTTCTTAAGCCTATTCCCCTTCGTCGTCGTCGTCGTCGGCGGCGGCGGCCTATCCATGGCGGACGGTATCGTTATCGCCGAGCATGGACGGTCCATCTGGGGCTCCGGCTCCTCCACGCACGTGGTGGAGTCATACGAGGAGGAGGAGTGGGAGTGCGCAGGCTTGGAACCCTTCTTCTTCGACGTGGCGGAGGCGGTGGCGGACCATGAGAGGCGGATGCAGATTGAGCAAGAGAATGAGCAAGAGAAGGCGCGGCTGGAGGATCTGCGCAAACAGAGGAAGCAGGCCTATGATCGGAGCCGTGATTACGATCCCAAGCAGGGTGGCCGCTACATGACCCGCTGCTTCTTCTACGACTTCCTCCAATTCGACGTCGACGAGGAGTGTAAGCCTATCCGATCCACCTCTCAATTCCTGTGTAATTTTGCTTTTGTATAAGCCGCCCAGGCAACGCCGCCTATCACAATTCAACTAATTTAAATCCATGTGAAACTAAGTAATTTATGCATCTCATCTCGGTAATAGTTTCAGTTGCTTGAGTTTAGAGAGGAGTTTCCCTTTATTAAGTAACCTTTGTCAGTTACCCTACACAGCATGTGCACTCACACTATCGGGATTCAGTTGCAAACAAGCACTTCTTATGAGTCTGATTTGCTGTCTGCATGAAACATTAACTCATTTTTTTTCCTGAGCCTGATTTGCATTAAACCTAAATTATGTTATTGTTTTTTGTTTTCCTGTGCTGCAGCAAGCCTTGGACCAGTGAGATACACCGATAAGGTCTACAAAATGGATGACTTTTGTCCTCTGCTTAATGCAGTAAACATTCTCTCTGTGAAGATAGCATCCTTGGATGTTAAATTTCCAATACATGTCTATGGCACTGTCATTGCCAGAGATTCCTTTGATCGCAAGTGTGTTTATGTCTTCCGCCGCACTAGAGACAATTGCCAAGTCATCAAGTCTAAGGTACCGATATCATGCCTAGCTTAGTTATCCATCATTCTTAACATACAGATTCTAGCATGCATTGTGTTTGGAAAGATAAAAGTCACTACTAGCACGTTTATTAGCATTTTAACTGCTAGTTGGATCTATAATCATTCAAAACCTAACAGTTGACACACACCCTTATAGTTTGGAATCACTGAAAACTGTACTGTAAACTTTTCTTGTAGACCCAATCGCTGACCTTGGAGGGCCCAAAGCGAGGACTCGTATTGTTAGATGATCTATTCATTGAGATCGATCTGAAGATAAAAGATGTTCGACAAAAGAGTGCTCAACGGGGTAGGGACAGAGAACTTAGTAAAGGATTTGTAAGGATCAAGGGCACTGGTCGGATCCTTGAGAAATCCCTTGTTGAAAGTAAATATCTTGCTACAAGGCTTAGTACAGTTGAAGTCGGGTGTTCAGTTGTGAAAGATGGCCTTGAGTCTCTTGTTGCTATTGAAGTTTTACGTGGAGAGTTCAGCGGTAAAATCACTGCTTGCACTGTGCACGTCCCGCATAGCCTCCTGCTTCATGATAGCAAACTTGGTGGTAAGAAGGTTGGCGGTGTTAAAGGAGTCATCCAACTTTTGCAGCCTGTCATAACTGTGGGTAGGGGAGACAAGCTGATAGTTGTAATCCAGACTAGCGATGGCGTTTCTAAGCGCACCGTCGAGTTTACTCGAAGGATCAGGAGCTCAGATGAAGATGTTATCACTGTTGGTGCCACTAAGATGCGCGTTAAGGTTTCTTGGTCGGTAATGGACTGGTAAGCAGGTTTCTTGGTGGGTGATGGGCTGGTAAGCAGGTTTCTTTGTGGGTGATGGACTGGTAAGCAGGTTTGTTGGTGGGTGATGAACTAGTAAGCGTGAGCTTAATTATGGATTGTCGTATGCTATATATTTGCCGTGCCAACTGTCTGGCCCAGATAAGAAGTAACAGTGTCTGTATATAATGGGTCGTTATGTCACTACTACACGAATCAATTTGCGCAGCGTGGCTAAAATGGGCTCCGTGGCGGGCACCACTTTTGCCCGCCACGGTTAACCGGTGGCCGGCCACCGAGGCCGGCCACCGAGGCGCCCGCTGCTGGAAAAGGGTTTACCGCGGCGGGCCACCTTACTTGCCCGCCGCAGGAAATTTATATTTACCGCGGCGGGCGGTATGAATGGCCCGTCGCGGTTAATAAGATTAACCGCGGCGGGCCACATTAACTGACCGCCGCAGGAAATTTATATTTACCGCGGCGGGCGGCATAAATTGCCCGCCGCGGTTAATAGTATTTACCGTGGCGGGTTGTTTAAACTGCCCGCCGCGGTAAAGCCTCTATAAATACGCCGCCTACTTCATCTTCTCCACGGGTCTTCTGGTTCTTCGGTGTTCGTTTCGCAGAGCTGTACTGCTCCTCGTTGTTCTTCGGTGGAGTGATAATAAGGTTACAAATGATTTTTTTTATTCTTTAGTATAAACTCTTAGCCTTAGCCTCTTAGTTTATTTCACAGAACTAGAAGAAGCTACTTTTTTTTTTAGCTCTTAGCCTCTTAGTTTATTTTAGAGAATCGCTTCACACAATCAGCAGAGAATCTCACTCTAAAAAATACCGTTTAGCAAAGTAGAGTGATTTGCCTTTTCCGGCATTTGGGGATCGTCTTTTTCGGGCATGTGTGGACCCACGTCCACTTTGGCACTACTGTATGTATGGAGGCTCTTTCTTATTGCTATATTTTGTTTTTGCATGTACTTGAGTTGATAATCAAACTTCAAATGCTAATATCTATTTAATCATGTGTCTAATTTGTAATTTCTTTTTACTATAATATTTATTAAGAATTTATCTACAAAACAAGATTCCACATAACCATATTTACTTGAAGGAAAAATCAAGAATTTAGCTTGGTTATCATCTAAACATTTTTTGCTACGCTAGATTTTGGCACAAGCCATATTTTGGCTCAAAATCAAAAATCAAATATCATTTTTAGGCCACATTTTATCACGGCTTCAGTTTGATTTGGTCAACAAAAATTTGAAACCAAACAAGTAGACGTGTCTAATCTAGTTCATTAATGCGGGCATCAAGTAGACGTGTCCCGGAATACATATCCGAAGTTGCTAGTTGTTGGCATTTCTCTCTTTTCATGATGTTGGACGTAAAAATCATCAATTTCTCCTAATTCTTCTTTAATTAATGTTGATTGTGACGGATAATTTTCGCAGTATGATGGATAGGTCGGAATGGATGTACCGGATCGATAGAGTGAATGATCCGCGGTACCTTTTTGAATTAAGGAAGTTTATTGCTGCTGGTAAAGCTCACCGTGAGAGACTGAAGCGGATGACAACCATATGTCCATGTTCTCGCCAGTAAGAACTCGAAAGCCCACCGAGATAGCGATGTGCAAACTCATTTGATCATGTATGGTTTCGCCGAGGGCTACACACCTGGACATTTCACGGCGAAAGAGTTGGTGCGAGTGGCGGTGCATCTAGAGTGAACTCTTCGACACCGACGACAACAAAGACCACCGGTGAATAAAGATCCTTTAGGAGCACCCGGCTCCTCATCATCTTCAAAGCAAAGAAATGCGCCAAATGACAAGGATAACAGCTTGTCGGATTACATCACGGTGGATGATCTAATACAAGACATGTCCGACAAAGCCGGGCGACGGTGGGGATGGTCGGGATACCGTGAGCCAACCCGAGGATGTACAATTTTGTTGAAGATCTAGTCAAACACTTCGATGAAGACGACGTTGTGTTGGGTTGCCCAAAGTGGTTGGAGAATTTGAGAGAGTTGAAGCAAAGCGGCGCTTGATCCTCTCTATAAGGACGGCGGCGATTGTCCGAAGGAGTGCACGGCGCCCGTTTTAACCTCCATATGTTGATGTTGAAGGCTCGTCATGGTTGGTCCGACACTAGCTTCAATGAGTTGTTAAGCTACCTTGCCACCACGCACTCCAACGGCTAACAAGGTGCCCGCCAATACTTATCGGGCCAAGAAGCTGATCCGACCAAATGGCGATGAAGCTTAGAAAGTTTGATGCATGCCCTAACCATCGTGATCCCGTATCGGGCAATGAGTATGAGAATTTGACGAGTTGTCCGTGACCGTGGCTTTAGTCGGTACAAGAAAAATGCTGGTTGTCGCGTGGATGCGTAAGACGAGGGAGGCTTGCGGAGTGGTCGGAAGAAGAACAAGAAGGGGGCAAAGAAGAGCAAAGGCGGCAAAACAGATCTCGGCTCAGCAGACGATGAAGAAGAGGGTTACACGCACGTAAAAAGTCCAAAGACTGCCGGTGTGGTACCCGCCTGCGTGACCGATCGCTGCGTGCAATATTCGGGAACCCGGACGATGCCAAGCTCATGTCCTGGCATGCATCAGCTGACCGCCTGAAAGACGATGGCAAGCTACGGCACCCATCCGATGGCAAGCAGTGGAAGGATTTCGACGAGGCCTATCCGGAGTTTGGCAAGGAGCCTAGGCATGTTAGGTTCGCTGAGTACCGACGGGATGAACCCGCTCGGTGAGCTTAGCAACTCGCACAAAGACTTGGCCCGTCGTGCTCACCATGTACAACCTACCTCCCCATCTATGTCGAGCGCGAGGTACCTTATGCTGACCATGCTTATCTCCGGACCGAAGCAGCCCGGCAACGATATAGATGTGTTCCTGGAGCCGTTCATGGAGGAAATGAAGATACTATTTGATGTTGGGGTCCAGATGATGGATGCATCCCGCAAGGAGAAGTTCACACTAAAAGCAATCATCTTTGTCACCATCACCGACACTCCCGGTCTCTCTTCTCACCGTCGGGCGGAGATCAAGGGAAAACCGGCCACAGAATTTGCATCGACGAGACCGCTACACTTACCTTAAGGGATCCAATAAGATGGTGTACACGAGGCACGCACGGTTCCTCGCCAAAAATCACGGTATAGAAGAAGTATTATGAACAAATACTTTGACAATCAGACGAGCCATAGCTGTGATCAAACGACGCAGACTAGTTGGGGGACAAAGGTGTATGAGATGGTCAAGGACATGGATCAGGTGGAGTTTGAAAGAAGAAGAAGTCGCTCAAGAGGGGCACAAGCAAACAAGGAAGCGAAAGGGACCAGACGGAGGAAGTCCCGCGCCGTTGCTCCTTTCAAGAAGAAGTCAATTTTCTTCAAGTACTCGTCGATTGAAAACATCGAATACACCCCATGCCATCGATCGCATGCACCGGAGAAAAATGTCTTTGAAAGCACTATCGGTGTCCCTTTGGATATCAAGGGCAAGACAAAGGATGGTATCAAGTCACGGACGGATCTTGTCAATCTGGGCATTAGGCCGACCTTCACCCGGACCGCCTCGTAACGGTAAAGTCGATATCCCGGTGCGGCTCGCAACCTAACGCAAGACGAGAGGACGGCTTTTCTTAAGTTGCTTAGGGGTATCAAGGTGCCGACCGGTTTCTCTTCCAACATCAAGAGCCTGGTCTCCATGAAAGACCTCATAATGACCGGCTACAACTCACACGACTGCCACGTCATGCTGACGGTGTTCCTACCAATTGCGATTAGGGCTATCCGTCCAGAGTACGTGAAGATGGTCATCACACGGATGTCATACTTCTTTAACCGCATCACCCAGAAGGTCATTGATAAGGCTCACCGCCTTCCCGAAGGAGTTCATCGCGGAGACCCTTTGCCAGCCCGAGATGTGCTTTCCACCATCTTACTTTGATATTATGCCACACCTAATGATGCATATGGTCGATCAGATCCATCAACTGGGCCCCGTGTACCTACACCAGATGTGGACTTACGAGCGGTTCATGTCCACCCTCAACAGATACGTCCATAACCGCGCTTACCCGGAGGGCTCTATGATCAAAGCATACACAACGGAGGAGGCCGTGAACTGGTGTATGAGGTACATAAGAGATGGGAGGATGATTGGCTGCCTGTCCATCACCACGAAGGCAAAACCTCGTGGATGGGGTGCACAAAGGCGAAAAGTACGCACCGATGTGGCAAACCGAACGGTGCAAGAAGCTCATTACAGCATCCTTCATCAGTTAGTGAGCATGGAGAAATACATTGTAAAGCACCTGGAAGAGATCCGCGCCGCTAATGATGGGCAGCGCACGGAGGCATGGGTTAATAGATTACCCGCGGCGGGCAACTTAACCGCACGCCGCGGTAAACATTTCCGCACAAGGGCTGTTACGTTGCCCGCCGTGGTTAATCGCAACCTTCAACATTCTCATCTTTCACATGTTCGGCTTTTTAACTCAAGGGCTGCCAAAATCTCACGCCGCCGCCACCATCTCCACCTGGCCGATTGAGCTCCTCCGCAGACCGACCCCCGCCCGCTTCTCCTCCCCGTGCCCGGTCCGCGCCCGTCCTCCTCTCCCTTGCTCGCGCCCGCCCCGTGCTCCTCCGGCGGCCACACCGGAACCCTAGCGCTGGCCATTGAGAAGTATCGCGCCCGAAGCTCCTCCCTGGCTGGGCCCGCCCTCCTCTCCCGGAACCCTTGCTCCAGCCAGCGGCTGAAGCTCCTCCAGGCTGGGCCCTGCCCCCGAACCCTAGCGCTGCCATGACGCGCCCCGCCTGTCCTCCTCCCTGTGCCCGTGCCCCGCCCCTGCTCCTCCTCTCCCGGAACCCTTGCTCCAGCGCCTTGAGCTCCTCCAGGCTGGGCCCTGCCCCCCGAACCCTAGCGCCGGCCACCGAGCTCCTCCGCGATCACGCCCACACGCTGGGCCCTGCCCTCCTCCCCGGTCAC